CCCCCGTGTGGTTGACCTTCACCCTTGTCATTCCTCATACTGGAACTCCCTCAAGATTCCTCTTGCTCTTACCTTTCTTGCCCTCTTCTTTTAAGCCTGATTTGTCTCTCAAGGGCCATCTCCAAAGCCGCTTCTGGCTCCTCCTCACACTACACTAATCTCTCTCTCCTTTAGGCCACTACTTAACTACACTTTGCCTTGTCCAGTATCTTGTATATAGTTCTAAATTCCCCTCTCAGAGCCTTGGCTCCTTAGTGATCTATCTTCACGTTCCCTCCAGTATCTGGTGTAGTAAGGGTGGGTGCCTTATCCACCTGAACCAAACAAACTACTACGATGAGGCTTTGCAAATATCTTGAGAATCTGGTGTTAATCTCCTCTGGTATTTAGAACCAAATGAGTGTGTATGAACTGCCACCTCGATGTTGGCTATCCTGAATCACCAATCCCCCCTTTTTTGGCAATCTACTTCTCTACCAACACGATTGCTACGGACAGTTCAGAAAACACAAAGATATTTAAGAAACTGACAATGTAGAGATTATAGTGGAATTTCTACATCAGTTTATGAATTTGCAAGGCTCCTATTCCAGAAAAAATGAATGATATGAATTAATTCCATCCTCGATGGTATGCTTCACTCCTATATCCTTGAGAGGGGAGGGTACCCAAGACAAGGTTTCCATAGGATATTAGCTTCTTTTCTTATTTGAGACAGCAGTGTACTATACACTCCACAAACTGGGTTTCTAAGATCCCCATTTCAAATATTAAGGAAATTAAAGCAATATCACTGGGCATATTCCAAATTATTCATGAAAACTTCACCTGCATTCATTCCCAGAAGCCTCCGCCTGCTCTATTTCATGCCCTTATCTCCTCTTGTAAATGCTTCCAACAGTGTAACACTGCCCAGTTACAGTATGGTCATTTATTTTAATGTTTCTGTTATGTGTAACAGAGCCTACCTCAAAGAACAAATAGACTCAAGGTAATAACATAACTCAAAAAATGTTAAATATAAAAGAGGTGGTGCAAATGGTAGTCTTCACACTAAAAGTTGGCATAAACTCCCAGATTCGAGTTCTGGAAGGCAGGCCTTCACAAGAAATTTTCCTACGGAACCCTGGTTTCACTCTCAGCTCCATCACCTAAATGAGGCTTGCTATGGAGAGCCTGTTTACTTTCATTCTACACACATACACGCACTCACACCATCCTACACGTTTGACAAACTTAGGGCTGTTGAGTTGTTTGGGAGAAGAGTGATAGATAACACAGAAGTGAGGTCCTAGTATAAAGTGCTCTGTTCAAGAATCTGGCTGATGTCTGGGGAAAGAGGTACAGAAAAATACATGGTGCAGAGGTCTCTAAGTCATGGTGTGGTAAAATTCAATGTGTGTGGCTGCTGAGGAACCTGAGAACAACTGGCCGAACACTCACTACCTTACCACAAGCTACCAGTGAGGTTCCGAGCCTCATTTGTAGCAGTGCCCCGAGTCTCCCTCTGGTTAAGTGACAGCCTCACACTACTTCTCCTATGGTCACAGAGAAGAAATCCAAAACTTCACTCAGAGCAACTAAGAGTGAAAGCTTCAGTAATAACCCTTTTTGTTTCCAATTCAATGGTCAAATCAAGTTCTCGCCACATAAATGGAGCATAACCTGACTTGTGAGTGTAAGGTACCATAGATGGCCTCTCCACTTAAGAAATGTCCTCTAAATTCACCTGCTTATTCTAAGTATAAACTAGGCTGTAGCAGAGGGGTTAAGGGTGTGTGCTCTGGATTCTGAATGCCTGGGCCTGAATGCCTGCTGTGTCCCCTACTGAGGGAGTTGAGAAAGTGACTTAACATCTAACTGGTTGTTCTGGGCCTGTTTCCTCATAATGAAAAATAAAACAAGAACACTGTTACCTAACTCACAGAGTTGTTAAAAATGAATGACATTACCACATGCACTGTGCTAAAATTAGTGCCTGGGTAACTCATAGTAATTGCTTGTTAGTCATTACTACCATATCAACAACCCAAAGATGACTTCCTGAGAGAAAGAATGACAGAGAAAATAACCCTCACGAGTTATTGTTATATAGTTTTCTGGGTTAGTCAGCTAAATACACTTGTTACATTACTGAGTTCAAGGAGTCTTACATGCCTGAACCAAGTCCTTTCCTCAATTTGAGGAGCAGCTAAGACTGTAAATAGGTAGGCGTGTTCAGAGTGGAAACCATATGAAGCACAAGCCTGGGAGGCTCTGTCACTCATCTGACCAACCTGTTTCTCTCCTCTACAAAGTTCAATTCTACACATTCAATCTAAGTGAAACAGATGGGAAGCATGAACTTACTCTATTTCACAAAAAATGTTGGAAAAAATGCCTTTCACAATATTCTTATTTGCAAAATTAGCTCTGTTTTAAAGATAACAGCTTTACATGTCCTTAAGCTCTTAAGCCTTAAGAGTAACTTAAAGGTACAGGTATAGAAAATCTAATTCCCATAGAGTCCAAGTTGTTCTGAGTGTTAAATTTTCCTCCCTTTTTTCACTTCCACTTAAATATTTATTCATATTAGTAAACTCAGAATCCCTTAGGTGAAATCCTCCAACAATTTCCTGTGAAGGAACTCAACCTGAAACAATTACTGGGCATTAATAAAGCATTAAGGTAGCCTTTCTTCCTGGGTGTGAGAATAAAAATGAAATAGGCAACAGTGTTAATTCCTTCTTTGAAAAAAAATTCAATTCCTGCAATCTGTCCCATATAAACCTTGATTTAGGGCAACCCTCTAGCCCTCTTCCTTGAATAATGAAAAGGAAAAAAGAAGTTCTTAGCTCATACTGTTAGTGAAATCTGTTTTTAAAAACCAACACAGGCAGTGCTCACTGATCTAGAAACTAGAAATGCGTAAGAATTTGCATTGTGTTTCACATGGGCCTGGAATAATGAGCCTTCCTAAGTTGCTGGTATTTCACTGCTCTCTTGTCAGTGTATAACCACTGAAGCTATATTATAGAATGCAATTCCTATATAGTGTGGAAATACCAAATTTCAAGTAACAGAACATTTTCCCTTAGATTTTCATGTTTTCCATCTTTACTGTTCAGTTCACTACAGTTCTTGGAAAGGTATATAAACTTTATGCAACAATAACACTTAACATTTTTAACCTTACGTTCTGGGGAGAGCGTCAAGCTGACAGGCCACAAATCACTTTAGAAACAGAACCTCAAGCAGGTCTGTGCTGAATTATGGCTGAGTAGCTCCAGCCATAATCCCTTAAATACACACATATAAATACACACACACTATTTTGGTATGCCTGTCTCCTCTACGACTGTGAGTTCCTTAAGGACAGGGGATATGTTGTACTCTCTTTGTACCACCAAGTAAGCTAGCATGGTGCGGGGTACATGAGAGGTACTCAGTAAAAGCTTGTTGAATAAAAGGAGTGAAAAGCAAGGAGGAGAGACCTTTATGCTTATAAAGGTCTCTGGTTTAGAGATGACCTCTTTTTACAGAATTAGGGAAACTAAGTCCTAAAATGAATCCAGACATACAGTACAATTTAAAAAATGCAAAAACAGCAATAACGTATACCAATTTTATACACTCAATTCTAAACTGCTGCGTTCAAGGCAATGCTATTGTCAGCCTGGATCCCATTCCTGTCACTGCACTTTACTGTGAGGCTGAGAGTCTGAATTACTTGCTATGCTTTTTCATTCTTTGGTAAGCACTTTCAAATGCGGAAGGCCCGCCCGTTCACTGAGTCCACTGTGCGGTTCTAGGGGCCAAAGTCCAACACCTTCACACACTTCAGAAAAGCTATTAATTTAAAACAAAACATTAACTTTAAGTCTACCTTAGACTGGCTCTGAGTCTAGGCAAGTAATTTAGCATCTTTACACCTGTACCTGAGTTTCTGAAAGACACGTCTTGATGATAACAATACACAGTATGTGGCGTGCTCTAAGGCTAAGCTCAAAGGCTCTGCATAAACCCGAGGAATGTTTGTAAATCCACCAGCACCCTGAGGTCCCCGAACCCAAATAACACAAACCAACCCCAGGGACATTCACGCGTTAGTTTACAACACAAGAACAGAAGTAATTGGTAAACAGCAATCTTAATGACTAGATTACACGCTTGTAAAAGTTCTACAAGTTAAAAGCCAAAAGATACCACAATTGCTACTTTCTTTTCAAGGTGAGAAATCAAACCTCCGGAGAGAAACTGGCTGGGTGGAAATGAGACTGACACCTGGCCCCCCAGACCCAAGTCGGAGTATCAGCCTCTCTCATGTTCCCAAATTATAAACTCCTCGCCATCCAAGGGAGGATCTATGGCCGCTAAAGAACGAAGAATTCCTGAATGACCACTCGTGCCCTGATCTCTCCACTTTCCCTCCAACTTCCTTCCAGCCCTTCTCTTCCTCCCAGGAGACTTGCAGGTAACAGAAGTCTGATCAGAATTAAACCCTCGTCGGGTCCCGCGACCCAGGACGCCGCCGGACACCCGCTCGCGTTCATCACTAACCGCGAGG